TAAAGATGTCAGCACCCAGGAGCCTGTCTTCAGGATCGCCTCAGCTAACTTCTCTAAACTGTGACTCGCCCAGGAAACACCCAGTGGGCTCTGGTGACTAAGCTCTGAACAAGAAGGCAGAACCTCGGTCTACCTCCTATGGGGCATGTCCTGGCCTTCTGCCTCCGCCGGGAAGGCAGCGTCTATACAAACCCAGGCCTAGATCCTTGTGGCAGACAGCAGCGATAAATTATGATATTTGAGGGCAGGGCCAATGTCGGCTAGTGTAAAAGAGTTGTCAGGAAGTCAAACCTCCCGAAGGACAAGAAGGATCAGAAGATCTGAGGGAATGAGGCATGAGCAAGCACCTCAGGAGACCTGAGAACCGACGATTCAGGGAGGGCAGGAGCAACGGTGCAAGATGAGGCAGGTTGCCATCAGAAACCATTTCCATCCAGAGTCACACTAAGAAGTCTGGGGCTGGCAGCATGGCTCAGTGGCTGAAGACGTTCACGACACAAACTGCAAATGACGGCTGGAGCCCCAGGACCCACATAAAGCTGCAGGTTGTCTTCTGACCTCCACAGGTACTCTGTAGCATATGTGTCTACATACGTACACCATGCATATACACACACGTACGTACATATACATACGTGTACACACACACACCACTCACATACATGTACAGCACTCATGCAAGCACATCATTCACACGTGTATTCATCATTCATACGTACACTAGATGAAATAAAAATAAACCTGAACTTATTTTAAAGGGTAGGCGGCTATAAGAGTTTAAAGAACAACCTTTTTTGTTCAATAGCCCTCTGGGTGATTAATTCAATTCTTTCCCCAACCCTCTTACATTTGGCTTTTAACTCACATAACTAAATTGCCAGAGCACTTAGGAGGTTGAGGCAGAAAGAAAAAAAAAGAAAAGAAAGCAACAAACCAGACAGACATAGAAATGTGATTTAAGGGGTCAGTGAATAATTTCTAGTTTGCAAGAAGTGACTACTTATAAAAATTTAATTTTGGCCAGCCTGGTCTACAGAGTGAGTTCCAGGACAGCCAGGGCTACACAGAGAAACCCTGTCTCGAAAAAACAAAATAAATAAATAAATTAATTAATTAATTAATTAAATTTTGCACTTCAATGGGCACTATCAGGAAAAGCTAACTCACAAATGCCAAACTGTGTATCTGAGAGGGTGTTTATAAGAATAACTCTTAAAAAGTAAAACAATCTCTGTTTTTAAAAACAGGTTAAGCCTCTAAATAGAGAGGTCTCCACAGAAGACACGCAAGCGCCCACTGAACTCTTGACATAACACTTGTGATCACCGGTACAATAGAAGCCAGACCCACAAGGTGCTCCTCTCCACCCAGAGGCTGGCTAAAACCAAAAGGCAGAAAATACAGTCTTCACCGTGAAGAGACACAAACTGCAGCCTTCACTCATTGTGGGTTAAAAACACCCGACACTGCAGCTGCTTTGGAAATCACCACGGCAGTTCCTCCAAAGAGTTAAACACAGGCTCATCAGATAACCAGCAATTCCACTCTCGGGTCACCACCCGAGAGAAAAGAAAATACATTTTCACATACGTACTTACAAATGAATGCTCACTGCCAACTTACTTGTAGAAACTAGCCCAAAAGGCAAACGCCCAAACACCCATCAAGTATGAATGAATAAACAAAATATGGTATGTCCATACAATGAAATATTACTCAAGCATAAGTAGATTATCCCACATACACTGTGGAATACATAAATCTTAAAGTATGCTGATAAAGTGAGGGGCAAGGACCACCTACTGGCCGTTGTACACATGGTCTGTCCTTGGACGGCAGAGCCACAGAGGTGGTCAGTGGATGAGCACTGAGAAGGGAGAAGGCTGGTGGGAGGCTGTGGTGCACAGGGAGCGCCTCGCCTGGGTGGGGAAATGCTCTCAGCCGAGTGCGCTGCTCTGTGATAATGCCACACCCCCGAGAGCTGTGCACCTTAGGTGAGGCATGTGAGTCAAAGCTCAATAAAGCCACTATAAAACAGAAAAGAACCCACTGTGCGATGTCAGAGTACCTAGCAGGTGCTGAAATAGTAGCGAATCTTGCTCGTGAACTTCAGAACCTCAACTAGGACAAGGAAAACCCAAGAGATTCCATTACTCAACATCTAGGTCCTGGGCCGTGCTGAAATATTCATGAAGAATTCCACGTTTTCATACAGAAGGCCATCTCTAGTTTAAAAAGACACTAGCGAGTACCAGGAGGGTTCGGATAACTCGGAGCTCGCTGACGCACGGAAGCCATCAGGTGGAACACAAGTCCAGGAGCCTTCGGCACATGGGTCAGTAGGCTGAGTAGCTCTCACTGCACCACCCCCAGGAGTGGCATTTCTACGTTTCTAAAGCACCGATTTGTGACATAACAAAATACTAAATGAATGTGGTGTTCTCATGGAGAACTGAGCCTTCCACATGCCCACTTATTTAGCTAAGAAGCTAATAACATCATTTCAAACACTCTATCACATGACCATGAGAGACTCCCCACACAGCTGGAGGGGATCCCAGAAATAATGTTTAAAAATGGTATTTAACAATCCTGAATCTAATCCTAATTTCTACATGGCCACAAAATACTGATTAGCGTGATCCGACCAAAGTAACAAATCACCATGAAAACTCTGATGCTTCTGCAGTGACATTTCTCCAGGATATTTACGTTAAATAAATTCCAGACTGGAGAGATGAGTCTAAGATTAAGTTAAGACCACTAGCTGCCCTACCAGAAAACCCAGGTCCAGTTCTCCACCCGTGCAGGTGACTCCCAACCCTCTGCAACTCCAGCTCCAGGGAATCCCATGCCTCTGGCCAGCAAGGGTGCACATAGATGCACATAACCCCCACCACCACCACCACCACCACACACACACACACACACACACACACAGAAAGCATGTTCTAATTTCTTAAAGAAGTATCTGCCGGGCAGTGGTGGCGCACACCTTTAATCCCAGCACTTGGGAGGCAGAGGCAGGCAGATTTCTGAGTTTGAGGCCAGCCTGGTCTACAGAGTGAGTTCCAGGACAGCCAGGACTACACAGAGAAACCCTGTCTCGAAAAACCAAAAAAAAAAAAAAAAAAAAAAAAAAGTGTGTGTCTGACCTTTATATCGAATCTGCTTGTGTGACTGTCAACTACCAAAAGACAGGACACTTCTAGAGTTCCGATACAAAGCAATTCTGCTTTACCACGTTTTTGTTTTTGTTTTTTTTTCCTATTTGTATGTGTCTTAGTTCTAGCTACTATCGCTGTGATGAAACACCACGACCAGAGCAGCTTGGGGAGTTAAGGGTTAATTCAGTTAATGCTTCCACATCACTGTTCATCATCAAAGGAAGTCAGGACAGGAACTCACACAGAGCAGGGACCTGGAGGCAGGAGCTGATGCAGAGGCCACGGAGGGGTGCTGCTTACTGGCTCACTCTCCAAGGCTTGCTCAGCCTGCTTTCTTATAGAACCCAGTTGCTACCAGCCCAGGGGTGGCCTCACCCACAACGGGCTGGGCCCTCCCCCGTGAATCACTAATTAAGAAAATGCCCTGTAGGCTTTCCTACAACCCCATCTTATGGAAACATTTTCTCAGTTGAGGCTTCTTCCTCTCTGATGTCTCTAGCTTATGTCAAGCCAACAGAAAACTAGCCAGTACAATAGGTAACCCCCTAGATCTGAGGTTTAATGTCAGGCTCTGTCTAGCCAAACATTACTGCGTGTGAAACACATTTCGAAGTCTCCCCAGGTCAGTGTTCTCTAACATATGCAGACCCAAGTTCTGTGTTCAGCTGCTTCAAGGCTGCAGACGGGAATATTAACTACAATTTGCCTTCACAATCGACCGGGTGGCAGGAAGCAACTGCTTGTACTTAATCGTGTTCTTCCCTCTGCTAACAGGCCCTAGTGTCAGGGTTCTGCCAGACAAGGACAATGAGACGCATTATTACATAGGCTGACTGAGAGCCTCACAAGTATAATCCCAGTAGGGAAAGCTACGGGATTGGGGGGTGGGGGTGTACAATATTTTGTGCCAACCATTTCCAAAACTAAACATATGTGGCCCTGGGTATAAGCATGCTCTGCGGTCGATTCTTTTTAAATGCTTACAGGAAGCGATCCCGGGAGGAGATGGAACAACTTGCAATTTGCTTCTCACTCTGAATCCCACGACCGAAAATGTGTAGAGCAAGCCGTTCTGACACCACAAAACAAGGGCAGCCTACACGAAGGCCAAATATAGGATGTGATTCTAAACCACGGTGGAACGAAAGCCTGTATTTCCTTTTCCAGCCTTGCAAAAAAAAAAAAAAAAAAAAAAAACCTTTGAACACTCCCAAAAAAGGACGTCGGGGCCGGCACCTCCCTCCGGGAGGAAGCCCCTTTCTTCTCCGCAAGCCCTGCAGCCGGCCACTTCCCCCAGCGCATTCACATCACTGGAGATAGGGCTGTTGTGCGTACAAGCGCCGGGGGACCGGCGGCAGAGCTGGGCTGGGCGTCCCCACCCTCCACCTCTGATGTCATCCAAGCCATCTCCGCGCGGCTGAGCCCCACCTGCCCCGCGGGTCACTAGGTTCTGCACCCGGACTCCCTCCAGGCCACGCCGCTGCAGCTCGCCCCCGCCCCAGGTCTTCAGGGTCCAGGAAGCCATGCACCGCGAGCCAGGCGGAGCCCCGCCCGGACGCACCCCGCACCCCGGGCCCCGCGCACCCAGCCCCACGAGAGCGTCCGGCCGCTGCCTCCCCGCAGCCCGCAGACACAGCCTCACGGCTGCCGGGCTCACGGCTGCCCGCAGACGGCCATTCCCCGGCCGCAGCGCCCGGGCACAGGCGCGTGCGCCCCGCACGCTCGGCGCCGCCGCCGGCTCCTGTCAGCCCGGAGCTTCACACGCGGGGCTCGGAGGCCCGCCTGCCCCCGGCTCGCTCCCGAGCCGCCCTTCCTGAGCCGCGCGCTGCTTACCAGGGCCCGGGTGCCTGAGGCGCCGCCGAAGTCCGAGCTGCAAAGCCCCGCGAAGCCTCCAACTGCTGCCGCCTCCCGCCTGGCACTGAGCGCCGCGCGGGGGAGGGGCGCGGCCGCCACTGCCCAGGCCTCCGCTCAGGCCCCGCCCCCGCGCCGCGCCGCGCCCAACCAGCGCCGCCGAACCGCGCTTCGCCACGCCCACTTCCGGAAGGCCCGGGTTAGATGGCCGGCGCTCTTTAGAGCGCCCCCTCTGGTGGCGCGGGGAGACGCAGGGAGGTTTCCAGCACACGCCCGCTTTCCGGGATACTTGAATGGCCTAGTGGCCACGCCCACGGGCTCCTTCGAGCCCCACCCAGTTCTTTAGAACCCGAGCGGGTGTTCTTCAGTTCCACCCACGGCTCTGCGGAGCCTCCCTATGAGTTTGGTCGTTTGAGCGCAGCTAATTGCCCGCCGAGTCCGTGAGCCAGGCTTGGTTCCCCCTTCCAAAACCTAGTTTCTCCCCAATTCAACGCCGCAAATCCCGGCTCGGATTTCCTGAAGCCCCGGGAAACCTATTATCATCCTATTTGCTGTATCCCAAGGGCCCCCCCCCCCCCCCGCGCCCCTGAGCGTACTTAAACCGTAAGCCCCGCCCCAAGTTCTTAGAAGCCCCGCCTCCATCAGAGCTGGCTCACGCCTCTCACCCACGCTCTCCCGGGCCCACTACTATCCAGGGCGGGGTGGCAACCCTTGAGCTGGAGGATTCCCTGTCTAAAGTCCCTCCATATGAATACGCGGATTCCAGTCCCAGCCCGATTACTCTCAGATGAAGTGACCCATGGGCTCACCTCTTTGGATTTCCGTTTCCTAATCTTCAGTGTAAGGTTATCCCATTACTAGCCAAAGCCCCTTCAGAAATATAAAGCTTTGAAATACCAAGACCTAAGGAAACTGAGTCCAGAGAACTGGGCCAGCTGAGGGGTTGCACCATTTATTTCTCAAAGCAAGGCATCTTTACAATTCGCAGGGGGATGAATTTTCACTTTGTTTTAGCCTCAGGAATGTCCAGGAATCTATGGTCGGCGTTCAGTGGTAGAGCCCCTGAATTCCTGCGACCTAAAATCAGAAGGCACATGCCTTAAGTCCCAGCACTGAGGAGGCTGAGGCAGGTGGATCTCTGTCTGTGGTTCCAGGCTAGCCTGGTCTACATACTGAGATCCAGGACATCCAGGAATAAGTAGAGAAACTCCGTCTCAAAAAATAAAATAAATCAAGCAATGTATGTGCATTTAAATTATGCGTTGTGTAAAACCAAGGTCTACCAGAACCAAACAGCTTGCTCAGCAAGTTTTTCTCTCTGCAATGCTCTATTTTTAAAGATTGGTTTATTTTACATGTGTGTATCTGTGTATGTAATTACAGCACCTGCATGCCGTGCCCCTGTAGGTCAGATGAGACTGAGCTAGCCTGGACCTGGAGTTACAGCGATTTGTGAGAGGACCACTGTGGTACCAGAAAACAAGAGTCCTCTGAAAAAGCAGGAAGTGCTCTTGATTGCAGAGCAAGAGCTCTCTTGCCTGAGCTTGGTTTCTTTATCTGTGACTATGATAGCAGCCCCTCCCTGACAGAGCTCAGTTTCTGGCTTCTCTCTCTCTCTCTCTCTCTCTCTCTCTCTCTCTCTCACACACACACACACACACACACACACACCACACACAAGGCACCTATTGCAGTCACTGCTGTGACTCAACCATATGGAGAGTGGGTTGTGTTTTGCCTCTAAGCAGCTAAGCTAACCAGAGGGACTCGTACATCATTCCCGGCAAGATTTGCCACTCTGCTTAAATGGGATAGAGGTGGTAAACCTCCTGTTGCAGTCACCAGCATATGGGGATGTGGAAAAACCAGTTGCTTTTGTTATGATCCTTATACTTAATTAAACAAGGGCACAGACTGTGGGGGCTGAGTGTGTTGGGGAGAATGAAGAGTGCAGACTTCTTGAGAGAGAACCGAGAGATCCTGAGAACACTGGCCATGCCTTTGGAAACAAGCCATCCAGCAGGCACCAGATGCCTGATGCAGCAGAATTGTCAGAAATTCTTCCAGCAACCCCACAGCCATAGAAAGACTTCCCAAGCGCCAGGCGGTGGTGGCACACACCTTTAATCCCAGCACTTGGGAGGCAGAGGCAGGCGGATTTCTGAGTTCGAGGCCAGCCTGGTCTACAGAGTGAGTTCCAGGACAGCCAGGGCTACACAGAGAAACCCTGTCTCGAAAAACCAAAAAAAAAAAAGAAAGAAAAAAAAAAGAAAGACTTCCCAAAATACAGTTATAAAGGCGAAGATGTGGAGAATTGAAGACATTGACTTGCCTAAAGTTACCCAGCATGGACCAGAACAGCACAGCCTGCTCTCTTAGCTGGTTAGTGATTACCTGGACTGCCTCGGGGGCAGCGGACAAAGGAAGAAAGGCGTGGACTTTGGATTCTGACAGACTCATTTCATTCAAACTGAACTTAAGTCATCGTGTTATGGCTATTAGACAAATCAGTTCCCCTCATCTTACTGGTGTGTGTGTGTGTGTGTGTGTGTGTGTGGTGAACATGCAACTATGTGTGAAGTGGGTGTGTGCATGCCGAAGTCAAATGAGGACATCAGGTGTCCAGCTCTGTCAATTTCCACCTTATTCTCTTGAGACAGAGTATCTCACCAAAACTGGAGCTGGGCTGGTATCCTTCAAGAAGCCCCAGCAGTCCTCTTGTGTACTCCAACAGAGCTGGGGGGTGGGGGAGGGCAGCAGCTTTCTCAAACATTTAAGGCACTGGGGATCTGAACTCAGATCTTACCTGCTGGTCCTATTCCCCTCTTTCTCTACTCTCTATATAGTTTGTGACCCAGAGGCTCTAACTTAGGGCCTCTACCAGTGAACTCACCCCGACCCTGTCAATTACCCCGATGCATGCCTGTTGAGCCCAGGTGTATGTACACATGGGGAGGCCAGAAGACAACTTTGGAAGTCTTTACCACACCTTACCTTATTTTTCAAGACACTGTTAAAAAAAAAAAAAAAAAA